AGGCTCATGGGTCGTGGATCACATTACAAACTCAGTGCAAGCATAAAAAGTTGGGCCCATATAGCAAAAAATGCAATTTTGGACACATTTGACTTTTGGCAATTTCGCAAAAAGGGTCAACTTGGCCAATGCATAACTCTCTCAATTTTGACCCTAGAGATGTGTTCTTGGACTTTTTAGAAATCTTAGGATGTCCTATAAGCAACCCTTTTAGTCTCATCTCAATTGAGTCTTCCATGTTCATGTATGAAGTTTTGACCCAAAAGGTGTTTTTGTTGACTTTCCAAAATTACCTATAATGTCCAAATTCCTATCTTCTTGTGAGTGCATATTTTGAACTTAGGAGATGAAGATGAATTATAGGGAATTAAATCCTATTAAAAATGGGCTTTTAATGGGTCATTTTTTATAAAGTATGAGAAAGTTATGCCTGGTCAAAGTTGAGTTGACTTTTCCTACAAAACCCTAATTTAGCAACCTTTGGGTCTTGATGAATTGTGAGAAATCCTTGAGGAATCAAGATCAACCCTTGATCAAATGATGAATGATACTTCAAAATAAGTATGTTTGACAAAAATCTTGAGGTTTGACTGTATGTGGGCCACAGTTGACTTTTGACCTAGTATAGTCGATTTTCAGGCCTTTGAGCACTTGACTGAGCAGATTTTCTCTGCAAGGCTTGAAACTTGACATGGATGATCTTGAGAATATATTATGACAATGGTGAGAATTTGGGATCCTTTGGACTCAAGCATCTTGATGCAAAATGAAACCCTAATTTTGGGTAGACTGTCTTAGGAGAGGGTTTGTCTGGTCAACTCTTGGACTTCCTTGAGCAATTTGAAGACCTCACTTGAAATGTATTGCCAAATATGGGAGGGAAAATTTTTGGGTACAACATGCTTCTCATAAATAGGACGAAGGTTGTTTACTCAAACTTGATATTATTATCAAGCCTATGAGAACATGGAACTCTTGTTCTATTAAACTGAAAGGTCCTTCAAAGGGTTATGTGTAGTAGAGATGTATCAACCTTAGTTCAGTGGTTGGTTGGTGTCTGCACTTAGGAGTGTCATCCAAACCATCTAGGATGAGCATTTTAGATTTTTATCCGTAGCAAGGAGAAGCTGTTGGACTTCAGTTATATGGTGTCCTCACATGATGGAACATTTATTTTTGCAAGGATTGAAGGACATCCTTGTGTTTTGAAGGATTGGGAGAAGAAAACTTAGTCTGAACAGTCTGCTTGTGGCGTATAATGATAATGCAATGCCATGTTTGTTGAATTCTTCTCCAGATACGTGTTAGAGGGAATCTCCTCTTTAGGTGCAGAAGAATGGAATCTAACACCTCAAAGTCATATAGGAGGTCTGAATATTGTGCATATAATAAGAAGCTTATTGAGGTGTGCATGATCTGCATGTATTTTGATATGGTCTTGAAGGTTGACCAGCTGCTGAATGTTGTTATGATTTGTGCTCATTAATGGTGCATGGTTGGTTCTAGCTTTGTGAAGCTAATTATTTGAATTGTATGCACACACACATCTTAGGAGGAGTCTGAAGGGCAATTTTTTGTGTCTGGGAGAATTTATTTTTTTCTGCAGTTTTTGGAAGGACTCTATCATAGGTTTTTGTTGAATAAAATATGTCACATATGTGATGTCCTGGTGTCTTGTTGTGTGTTACTATTTTAGGCTGAAAGAAGTAGTCTTAGAGACCAGTGGAAGGCGGTGTGATCGTGCTTTATAACATGTAGATGATTCTATGAAGCATCCCTGACTGGTGATTGCAAAAGTGTTGGTCAAGTTTTTTTTGGAAGTAGACAATATCTGACTGGATGTCTGGACATTTGTTCAGGACATGTTTTCTCCTTGAGCCAAACAAGGAAGTATTGTGGACGATGTTGTCAAGAGGATGTGTAAAATGTGCTTTGTGTTTCTGCATGTGCATTTATTAGAATTATAAAGACAATCATAATTTGTCTTGCACGGTGCATTTTTATTTGGTGATCTCCCTCAAATAACATTCTCATTGACAAAGACTGTTATTTCCTAAGAAGACTACTTGGATATTTAAAGAGAACATTCCTTCACCTCTTTCATCTTGTGGTGGTCACTCTTTCTCAATTCTCATGGCTTTTGATCGGGTCTGGGTGAGCTCAGTTTGGATCTGGTTTTGTGAAGGCCTTCTTTGCTAATTTTTGGTTAAAAAGGGGGAGAAATGGTTTACTCAGATGTTCAGTCTGGAGTTTGTATTTTCAGATGTTGTACAAACATGTCGAACGGGATGTTATATTCTACATCTGTTTGGGTTGGTTTGTTTTATGACTTGTGATCTGAGTTATGAACACAATTGTGACCAGTGTTTTGAGTTACCCGGAGTGGTGTTTGGATATTTCTTAAGTTTCCTCTTATGCCACAGGTTGACTGGTGGTTGCTTCATGGTTCTCTTATACCACCATTTGAAAGGAAGACTTATTCATCTGTGACAAGAATAGGTTCCTGGGTTGAGGGGGAGTATAGACTATCTTCTTCCTCGTGTGCACCAAATGACTTCAGAATTTTCTATTCTCCTATCCTAAATTTTTTGTTCTTTTGTGTTGAGTTTTTGTGTTGTAATGGAGCTATTATGAAGAAGATGTCGAACATGATGTCATAACGTCATTGTGTTTGTGAAGAGATGTCCCTCCATGTTGCTATGTTGTTGTGTTCAGTAGTTTCTGAAGATTATTATTGATGGGTGTAATTTTTTATTGTTGTAATCTGGATTGTAATTTATGTTATTTGTTTTAGCCAAAATTTACCAAAGGGGGAGATTGTTAATTCTCTATTTTTAAGATTGACATTAATCTTAGTAAAATAAACTAGTATGAAACTTGTGCGTTCGTACGAGTTCTGGCGTGGGCCACGAATATGTCACTGGTTTGTCATGAAAATTCAAACAAATTAGAAAATGTCATAATTTTATTGGGAAAAAAATAAAAAAAATGGACGGGAAGATGATTTTATAAGTTTTACAAGAAAGACATATTTTTAAAATAAAATCAAAATTGTATCAAATTTTCAATTTTTAAAAGAAAGACATCAATATTTCAATTATTGATATATTATCTTAAAAAGTATTGTATGTTAACTCGTGCGTTCACACGAATTTTCGATTGGTTATCCATATGAAAATTCAAATAAAATAAAAAAAATTAAAATTAATTATAAAAAAATAGTTAAAAATAAATAAATATATATATATATATATATATATATATATATATATATATATATATATATATATATATATATATATATATATATATATATATATATATATATATATATATATATATATATATATATATATATATATATATATATATATATATATATATATATATATATATATATATATATATATATATATATATATATATATATATATATATATATAAGTTAATTAAATCAATCATTGTTAGGAAAAAAATATTAAACATCTATTTAGAAAAAAACAATTGTGCAAAATAGATAAAAATGAAATATATTTCTCAAAATTGTTTACCCGTACATTCACACAGTACTGGTGTGTTACCCATGCGAACACACGCGTATTGATGTGTTACCCGTTTAAACACACTGGTAACACATCAATACCTAGTAGAAAACTAGTGCGTCTGCACGGGTACTAATGTGGTACGCATGCTTTTATTTTTAAAATATAATTAAAATATTAATAAGAAAAAAAAAAGAATTTGAAAAAAATAGATTTTTATTTTTAAAAGAAAAACATATTTTAAAAAAAATTATGTTTTATCAAAGTGGTTTGACTTTTATATATATGACAAAATGACAAAATGAAAATGAAAAATAATAAAATAAAAAGAAAACTAAAATAGAAAAAAAGACAAAATTACCTAATAAAAATATTTTATTATTTAAAAAATAATAATAAATTGGTTTTAATATTTTATCATGTATATAAATATATTTTAATCAACAATATAATTATTTTAAAATGTAATAAAAATGTAAATCACTAAAACAAAATTGTTTTACCAACAAAATGCATTGATTTTGGAAAGATTACCTGTGCGTTCACACGATACTCTGATGTTTTATTCGTCCGTTCACACGGGTACTACTGTGTGATACACACGCTTTTATTTTCAAAATATAATCAAAATAGACTACAACATAATTGTATAAGTTTCTAAAAACTTCAATTGTTAAGAAAATTTATTAAACATATAATTTATAAATACTAATTGTAAGAAATAGAAAAGTCAGTGGGATAACCATATAAAAGAATTAAATTTAATGTTGTATTTATTAAAATTTCAACTATAGTTTAAAATATATAGAAAAATGAAAAGTTAGTGAAATAACTCACATAAAAAATACGTATTAAATATAATAATTCGTACGTTCACACGAGTATTGGTGTGTTATTCGTGCGTTCGCATGAAATTTGATCTGATTATCCGTGCCTTCACACAATATTAGTGTGTTACTTGTGCGTTTGCATGGGTACTGGTGTGGACCGTAAAATTGTCACCAATTTGATTTATATAAAAAAAATATAATAACTCATACGTTTGTATGAATTTTAGTATAATTATCAGTGTGTTCACATAGTACTGATGTGTTATCTATGTGTTGACACGGATCCTGGTGTGTTTCGCACATTATTTATAAAATAGAATATAAATATAGAGACACAATTATTTAAGCAAAAGAGTTTATTTAATTTAAAACAAAGACATAAATTTTATTTATATTTGCATGATAATATATGATATATGATTAAAATTTGAAAAAAGACATCTTAGCACCATGGCAGTAATCTCACTTTCAACATATGGTACAGAGAATATATTCAATATAATATGTATTAGTTATAGTGAATGTTTTTCGCCCAATAAATGATGATTACACTTCTCACCACACCTTTCTAAAAATCACCACTATCGATATGACGAAAATTTATACAAAGTTGTGATGATGACGAAATTTATACAAAGATTGCTGCATTGATCTGAGTGAAAGATTGCTGCAGAAAGTTTCCGTTTAATTTAGCACAATCCAAAACAAAATAAAGCTCAATCTTCATGAAGCAGGTGTCACTAACATACATGCATCTTCTTTTCGCATATGCTTGAAATCCATAGAGAAATAAGCAGCTACAACTACAAGTGAGTTTGCCAGGCCATGCCATTTTATACTCCCACTTCAGAACCAGCTGCCTATAAAAAGTTCCAACTTCATCAACCCTAAAGGGAATAATTAGATGCAACAATATTATTAAAATTGTACAGCCACAAAACACATGAATCAATGAATCAATGAAAGAGAGAAGAATAGATTGATACCAAAAGAATTCCTCCGCGGTCCAGTCAAATTCGATCATCGCTTAGAGTATAACTCCAAACCAATGAAATCTTTGTGCTACATTTAAATAGTTCTACAGCAAAATAGTCTTTATATGTGTGTGTTCACAATTAACAAAACAAAAGTATTCAAAACAGTATATAAGACTAAAGAAATTTCTCAAATATCAAACATAAAATTACCTTTGCTTTGCGGATTTAAACGACATTCAAACGGTATTATCCGATAACTCTTCGTTTACACATATTCCACCAAATTACCTCAGATCCATTATCATCATTTTTTGTTTCAACTTGTTGGTAATATATACAGCTATGAACAAAAGTTAACTCTGATCCATTATCATCATTTTCTTCGCAAAACCCTAAAATATAACAAAAATCATAATGTTAGACAAAGTTTATGTCAATACCTTGTTTGCAGCACTATTTTCGTAAAAAAATGTCATCTTCTCAGACGTATTTTGATCCTGCAGACAGAGGGAAGAGGATAGAAAGAAGAGGAAGAGATGGAAGAGAGAAGAAAGAAGAGGCAGAGAGAGATGGTGTTTGGGAAGTGAGAAAATTTGTGAAGGAGGGCAGAGAAATGTGAAAAGGTGAAGTGATTAATTGGTTTTCGTGAAATTCAAATAAAGTGGGGTTATATTTTCCAACCTAACGATCAAAGGTAAATAAATATAATCATTTATTTGAATCATAAATATATCGTATCATTAGTTGAAAAAATTGTTTTTTTAAGACACAAATCACCCTTATACTGATGAGGTGGAGAAGAAAGGAGAAGGGGTAAAAGTAAAACGGTGTTTTTTATAGGATAAAATGTTCTTATATGGTAGATATAGCAGCAATATGTTACATATGATGTGATTACTTGCTATGAAGAAGAACAGGTTGATCAAGAAGTCTTATTTTATATTGATACATGTTGAGATGGGAAGTTCTCATCATCTAGAGCAACATGTTAGATAAGATGTCCTATGTAGGGTCATTCGATATCGCGTCTGTGCTGGGCTGGACAGTTAGATCAGTTCAAGATTTAACAGATGCAGAATATTTTGAGAATATTACGTTATTCATGTGGCATTGTTTTATAGTCTGGAAGATTCAAGTCAAAATCAAGAAGAATATTGAAGAAATATTGACTTTCTAATTATGGAGATAAATTAGGAAAGATTTGTTTGAAGACCTATTTTGTAGCAGATATTTTTACTGATTTGTAGCAGCTGATATGCTGTGATTTGAAGTCCAAATCTAGTTGAGAAAAAGGTTATAAATAAAAGTATTGTAACCTAGAAGAAGGTATCAGCCGTGAATAAAAAGATGTAGTTATTAGGATTGAGTTTGTAAGTCACTCTCTAGAAGAGTTGGTATGTGTGATCCACTCGACATGTGAGTTGGACTGTGCTATAGACTTGTAAGTCTCTATTATTTTTCATTCTTAAGTTGTGAAGTATAGAATGTTGATTATTCTCCTCGAAGCTGTGAAGCAAAAGTGAGTATTATTCTTGGAGGAAGCTTGTAAGCAACTCTAAGAATTGTTCTTAGTCAAGAGTCTTGGCTAGGTATTGTCATGGAAGTGTATCTCCTTATTTTGTTGTCGTGGAAGTGTAACTTCCTGTTTTGATTCAATCGTTGTATGTTATTGATGAATGAGTTAAGGAGGGCCTCATACCTAGGTGAGTCTTAGGTAGAAAGATAGTACGAGTAGTGATTAAGTGAGAAGTTGTAAACGGAGGAGTTTAGCTTCGAATTGATATTATTCTAGTAGACTATATCCCTAGCTTGTTATTCCCCTAGAGTGTGAGAGTTGCTCCGAACTGAGTTAACAATTTTGGTGTGTTGTATATGCTTTTTAGTATTGTTATGTATGTTTATACCTTGTCACTGTTGTTTGTTCCGATTCAGATGTCTCAATATGTCATAGGACATCTGAAGTCTAATATACTAGAATTTCACACATTAAGCCAGTTATCTGTACGTACTCATTAGGGGTGTTTACGGGCCGGTTTGGTTTGATTTTAAGAAAATATGATACCCAAACCGATAAAATATATGGATTGATTTGAATTGGATTTTTATATTTTTTGATAAAATTCAAACCGAACTGAATCACGAAATAACTGGTTGGATTGATTGGGATACATTAGAAACAAATGTGCACAAATATTTTAAAAATGTCTAATTTACATCAACTACTTTTCCATAATAATATAATTTTTTTAATGTTTTTGTTTCTCCATATAGGTTGTGAATGTCAGAAATAGTATTTCATTTTTTTTCTTCTTAAAATTGAATATCTTATACTAGTTTCTATAATAATTATATAAATTATATGAATTAATATGGTTGGTTCGGGTAGACGGACTTGCGGGTAAAGAATTTAAAATTTGTTCCCAAATGTAGTTGTTTAGTTATTGGCTTGCATTTTTGGTAAAACCCAAGTGTGTATGTGTGAATGTCATGACTGATGTCATAACATTCTAGTTTAGTTGTACTGATTCATTAGGTACCTTTGCAGAAAAATATTGTCATTCAGGTACTGATGTTTATAAGTGTGTATCTGAGCATTTTGCAAAATGATCACATTTTCCTAAATCAGTAGACAGGTTTTCTCAGATGTCATAACAGATGTTAAGACATCCTGTTCTGAACTAACCGGTTTTCAGTTTGGTTAATTCTGAGTTTTTTCAGGAAAATAACTCAGTCTTTCCAGAACAGAATCCTGCGTTTTCTTTGGGTTAACCTAGCTCAACCCTAACCTGGTTAATAGAGTCCTGTGACCTAGTCTTAAGGTCAAACGGAATTAACCCTAGGTTTTTGTGGAAACCCTAACTGAAGTTGCAGCTGCTATATATTCAACAGAGTTGCTGTTTTGCAAGTAATCCCTTTTTGGTCAAAAGATCATTTGTAAACTGTATAGGTTTAATTATTGTACTCCAAGCAATTATCATTGTGATAAGTGACTTGGAATAGGTTTTTAATTGTAAGGGTTGTGTAGCACTCAAAGCTTTGAAGCAAGAGTGTTTGAATGTTTCTTGACTAAAGCTGTGAAGCAGAGTCAAGTTAAGTGTGTGTATCACTCAAAGCTGTGAAGCAAGAGTGGTTGTGTTGCTTGATTAAAAAGCTGTGAAGCTTAATCAAGTGTATGTTTTTGAAGAGTGTCTTCATCAATTCATTAGTCAAATTGTTTTATGTATCACTGTTGTGATTGAGGGGGAGTGAGTAGGAACTCAGATTTAAGTTGTACTTAGATTGAAATTGCATTGGGTAGGTCTTAAGTGAAGGAGATAAACTGGTTGGTTTATTCCTGAATTAACATCTCTTATAGTGGATTTCCTCCCTGGCTTGGTAGCCCCCAGAGTAGGTGTTGTTGCACACTGAACTGGGTAAACAATTGACTGTGTTCTTTACTGTTTTTGTATTTACTGTCTTATAGAAAGTCAGATACGGTGTCATAACATTGAACGTGACATTGAGTATCTGCAGCCAGAATTTCAATTGGCATCAGAGCAGGCACCCTGCCTGTATTACTGGGTGAGATCTAGGGATATCACTTTCTGGCACTATGGACAAAGAAGGAGTTTTTGGAAATAGACCACCCATTCTGGATGGAACTAATTATGACTACTGGAAACCTCGTATGATTGCCTTCTTAAAATCTCTGGACAAAAAGGCTTGGAGAGCTGCTGACAAAGGATGGATCCATCCCACCATAACTGAGAAAGATGGGACAATCAATCTGAAGCCTGAGGAAGATTGGAGTAAAGAAGAAGATGAGTTAGCCCTGGGAAATTCCAAATCTTTAAATGCCTTGTTCAATGGAATTGATAGAAACATTTTCAGACTAGTACATCAATATGAACTGGCCAAGGAAGTTTGGGACACTCTCAAAACTACTCATGAGGGCACTTCCAAAGTAAAAATGTCAAGGCTTCAGATGTTGACTACCAAGTTTGAGAATCTAAAAATGATGGAAGATGAAACCATTCATGAGTTTTACATGAACATCTTGGAGATTGCCAACACCTCAGGAGCACTGGGAGAAAAAATGGCAGAAGAAAAATTGGTGAGAAAGATTCTCAGATCCTTGCCTAAAAGATTTGCAATGAAGGTAACTGCCATAGAAGAAGCCCAAGACATCAGCAAGTTAAAAGTGGATGAACTTATTGGGTCTCTTCAGACTTTTGAGATGGGGATCACTGATAATGGTGACAAGAAGAACAAGAGCATAGCACTTGTATCCAACACTGATGTTGAAAACAAGGAGGATGAAGAAGAAAATATTTCAGAAGCTATAGCCATGCTTGGAAGACAGTTCAACAAGCTCATCAAAAGAATGGATCCAAAGTCAAGGTCTAATGTTCATAACATTCCCTCTGACATTGACAGTTCCAGCAGAAGACCAAGATCAGAAGAAAAGGGAAACCAAGGCAGAGGCATTCAATGCCATGGCTGTGAAGGTTATGGACATATTCGAGCTGAATGTCCTACCTTTCTTAAGAAACAAAAGAAAGGAATGACTGTTACTTGGTCTGACTGTGATTCAGAAAGTAATTTTGAAGAAGAATCTGCCAAACTAGTTACTGCTCTAACTAGTGTTTGCACCTCTGACAGTGACACTAGTGATGAAGAAGTGACATTTGAAGAACTGGTTGATACCTACAAGAAATTGTGTATCAGAAGTGCTGAACTCTGTGTGCAGAATGAGAAACAATCAAAACTCATTATAAAGCTGGAGGCTGAAAAAGGGGCAGATCTTGAAACTATAAGTCACCTAGAAGGGGAAGTTCAATTACTGAACTCACAACTGAACCAAATGACAAAATCTGTCAAGATGTTGACCAATAGATCAGATAAATTGGAAGAGATTCTTCAAGTTGGACAAAATGTGGGAAACAAATCTGGTCTAGGATTTGTGGAAGCTAAGAAATCTGGTGCAGACAAGAAGATTAGGCATGTTAAACAATTGTCAAAGCAGATGTCTCAACACAACTCTCAACATCAGAAATACATGAAGAAA